CTATTTTTTAAACTCCAGTGATTTCAAAATTTATTTATTATTTTTATTTCACTTTTTTAAGAAGAAATAAAACAGCTTTAAATAACTACATACAGTGGGTAAAAAAGGTTTCCGTACGGTCACTAAATTTAAGAATGAATGAGCATAATTTGTAAAGTGTTGCATTTTTTCTTTAAAAACTGTCTATATGTGGTTGTCTATAGAAAGAGATTTTTATAAATTTTCATTTTTACAAAACGAGAAAAGCATATTATTTGAAATATCTAAGGTAAATTGAAAATTGCAGTGCAAAAAAAGTTTCCGTACGCGTTATTCAAATTCTTTCTGACGTGTTTAAAACATGCCCGCAGTAGTAAATCTTTGACGTTAGAAAGTTGATCGTCTCAAAATGGAAATTACCAGAGCTATTCGGGAATTAGTGATTAAATTGCGAAAAGACGGATTATCCATGAAAAGGATGAGTGAAATGACTAAAAAAATCGAAGTCTACTGTGCAATAATATCATTGAAGGATATCGTCATTCAATTGAGGAGAGAGATCGATCCGGGAGGCCGTCCAAATTAATTCGCGTCCATCATACGTCAAGTTCAAGAAAATCCACGAATTAGTGCACCGCGGTTGGCAGCTGATTTAATAATTAGTTACAACATTAAGGTCTCAACTCAAACCGTAAGAAATGTCATTAAAAAAAGTGGTTATCATGGACGTGCGGCCCGGAAGAGACCCTATATAGCAAGTCATTATCTTTTTGGGAATCCATTCTTTATAGTGATGAATCAAAATTTAACATTCATGGGTCAGATGGCCGAATAATGGTGTGGAGAAAACCAAACAAACAAATGCTAACTAAGAATTAAAGCGGAACTGTGAAGCACGGTGTTTTGGTGTGGGGGTGTATGAGTGCTTCTGGAGTAGAAAATTTTAAATTCATCGTGGGAACTATGGATCGATTTGGATATCTGGATATTCTTAAACAAAATGTGTTATCCAGAGCAGAGAAACTAACTCTTGGAACTGGATTTACTTTTCGGCAGGACAACACACCTCTAAGATTTGGCAAGAAAGGTGCCTTCATAGCCCTCCCCAGTCACCCGATTTGTGGGAAGAAATTGGCCGACAACTTAAAAAATATGACATAAAAAACAAAGTTAAACTCAAAAGTGCCATTATTAGCATTTGGTATAATATTTCTCCAGAAGCAACAAAAAAGAACTTGTAGGGGTAATGCCAAAACTTCTAAGAGAGGTGATAAAGGCCAAAGGAGGACCCACTGATCATTAAATGCAATTTTGTAAATGTATTTTGGATTTTTGTAAACTTTTTTCGTGTGGTAGGGCACCTTACGGAGACTTTTTTCTCCATGTTTACGGTATTTTTTAAGTTTTTAAGATTTATTGTTTAATTTTGTCAGCATTATCATCCTTTTAATATGAATAAATATTGCCCACTGTACATCAGACTGCATATAGCTATTCGCTTTTGTATTTTTTCAGCTATTTTATTACTTCAGCTCTTTCTTTACTCTGTTTTTTTAAGTTTAAAATCAGTAAATATGAAAATTCAGAGTATAACAGTTTTGGTTGTACCTATCATTTCAATTAATGTTATTATAATGCTTTTTTAAATTTATTGTTGTGTTTTTGTCGGAGAAAATTGTAACTTCGGTAAGTCATGAAAATTTCTTGGCACTATTCGTGGAAAGTCATGGATTTGAATATCTGAAATGTAGCAGATACCCTGCATATAAAAGTTTCTTTTATGGCTAAGCACTATAAAACTTCATTATCATTCTCTAATTGTAAAACTGTGTTATTAAAAGGTAATAACAATTTACTTTTTATTGCAGTATATGTATCGAGAGCCCTTTAAAGAAGCTAAGTCTGAAACGTCTACTGAGAAAAGATACAAGAAATAATTATATTAATGTTATTTTTTTCACTTATTGCAGAATATATCTAAATATTTTACTTATGCCCCTTTGTGAAATTAAAATATAATTCCGTGTGTGTCCTCCTTTACTTCCGAAAACAAGATTGACAGAAATTATTTAAAGGAAGAAAAAAAAAAATGTATTTTTTAAATAAAGTTTTATTTCTTTCACATTTATTAATCAAAGCTCAGATGAAAGTTATATTATTCACTGAATAATAATTAATTAAAAACAATGCAACTAAAGAGTTACTGTTTCTAACTTAAAGTGGTTAAAATTAATATACAATTAATACAAACTAATCAGTGAATAAAGATGTTATACATGGTTGCTTTTAATCAAGCCCAACACCCTCATAAATTTGTGGATCTAAGGTCTGGTTTGTCCTTAAGATATCGAATAAGATTTATATCTAAACAATTTCAGTTATATAAGCATTACACTCCTTTATTTTCCTCTTCGCTGACTAATCCAAGATGGTTACCCTCCCTCACACTGAAGTGATGCTTAACTTCGGTGATCTATTGGGAACTTACGATAAGCTCTAGTACTACAACTATTTATTATTAATAGTCGCCTTTGAGGGGTCATTCAGCGAACACTAATTTCTTTTCTAATTTTTGGATCAAAAGAGATTGATATTAATACCAAATCAAAGGATGTATGTCAAAATTTTCAAAAACATACGTATGTTAAAAAATATTTTTTTATTTTGTCCATTTCCCCCTAGATAGCTAGCACTGGTGTCGCTAAAATTAATGATGAAGCAAATAATATATGATGCGGGTTAAAAAGGAATCGGTGTATTATAGTCTATTTCAGTTGTTGGCATTATTCTCTTTCGTTTTCCAATTATTATTAATTGCTGCATTTGATAGACACTTTAATTAATTAATTTTTGGTTCACAAGAGAACTTCCTTGATATTAATACTGAGGATTGGCGATCGAAATGGGCTGCAGGTGACGTAGAGCAGAACTCTCTACCTATGGCAACACTTCACATACTTTTCCCATTAGAATAAGGAAGTATGTTAATTTCTCACTTGATTTTCAAATAGATTAAAATCTTTTAAGTTGGAAAACTACATTAAACATAGCTCTAAAGAAAAGTATCGCGGGTCCCGCAGTGGACTGATCGTTAAGACACGGTTCCCAGCAGATCACCGAAGTCAAGCATCACTGGCTGCGGTCAGTGTGCGGGTGGGTGACCACTTGGATCAGTCTGCGTAGGGACCGAGGGTGTGCGGTATGGGTCCTCGTTAAACTGTTCTACCGTAAAGTGCTCGACTTATCGCGCAGGTTGTCGGGCTACCGAAGCTGGGGTCCCATCCCCTCCGCAGAGGATCAAAATTGTGATGGCATGTCTTCGGATCATCCTCAGGGATGTTTCCCAGACCGTCGCCAATAGCCCATTGTGCAGCTCTATTCCGACGTAAATTAACAACAAAAGTATCGCGGAAATTTTAAAAAATATTTTTATTGAATAAAAAGGAAAAATATTAAGAAAAATTGATTAGAGGATACAGGGTTCAAGTTTTAATCAAAACAGAGTTGTTCCGTGGATTCACGCATTAATTAGAGGAGAAGGGGCTCGAGTACCCAAGTGAAGGTACTGGGTTCAAGTTTTAATCAAAACAGAGTTGTTCCGTGGATTCACGCATTAATTAGAAGAGAAGGGGCTCGAGTACTCAAGTGAAGGTACTGGGATTAAGTTTTACGCAAAACAAAGTTGTACCGTGGATTCAAGCATTGATTAGAGGATACTGGGTTCAAGTTTTAATCAAAACAGAGTTGTTCCGTGGATTCAAGCATTAATTAAAGGAGAAGGGGCTCGAGTACCCAAGTGAAGGTACTGGGATCCAGTTTTAAGCAAAACAAAGTTGTACCGTGGATTCAAGCATTGATTAGAGGAGAAGGGGATCGAGTACCCAAGTGAAGGTACTGGGTTCAACTTTTAATGATAAAATGCAAAAATGAGTTTTAATGATAACGTTAAAATGAGGAAATTCGAAGTCAATAATCTGTATTATTACGAAAGCCGTTATCTCCCCTTAATATTGACCCATAATATTTATATTGGAACAGGTATTATATTACCTAGTATATATAATACCTGCCAGAGGAAATAATTATTGGCCTAAAAGGGGGTCCTATATGTTACTATGCATGTATATGCAAATATAATAGCGTTAAAATGAGGAAATTCGAAGTTAATATTATGTATTACAGCATGACCCGTTTCCTCTTTTTATTACAACACGGGTATTGCCGAGATTGAACATTTCACAATTGGACACTACTACAATTTGTTTGTAACCCCCATTGTTTTAAACTTTTGTATTGCGGAGATTGGGAAATTTTATAATTTGAATGAATAAAAATTTTGCTACAACAGATTGTGTTTGAAAACCAATTCTCCGCGGATGCAATGCAACAAGTCGTGTGGATATGCGTCTGCCATTTTTTAAGGATGAAACACATCGTGAATCTTCTCGTTATAATTCTGTGATTTTATTTATTATCATTATTAATTTTTTTTTTTGATGGAGTCATGGTGCTCAGGTATTTTGTTGAGAGACTGTATGTCTCCCTGTGTACGATATTTTCGCATGTGAATAAGGACAAGAGTACGGATAAACATTTACCCTACAAAAGGCTCGTGAATCTGTTTTTGTCCCGCAGTGGACTTATCATTAAGTCACGGTTCCCAGCAATCTCTGGCTTCTTTCAGTGTGAGGGTGAGTGACCGCGTGGATCAGTCTGTGCAGGGACTGAGGGTGTGTGATATTGTACCTCGCTTAACTATTCTACCGTAAAGTGTTCAAATTCGAGTGCAGGTCGTAAGGCTTCTGAGGCTCAAAATCCTGATTGGCATGTCTCCGGATCATCCTCAGGAATGTTTCCTAGAACGTCACCAATTGCCCATTGTGCAGCTCTAGTGTGACGTAAATGAGCTTCAACAACAGCAACAATAATTTGTTTCTCGCTCGCAGATAAAAATAGAAATTGCATCCAGCATGAATAGCCTTAAGTAGTTTCAATTTTTCCGCCGTTCAATTCTTCAATGGCTGCAAGCTACAAACTTTTCACATAATTCTATGAATATTGTCTATAGCATCTTTAAATTAGCAAAAATAGACAGCATCAATCGTCATGTGGCCGGAGATTATAACAATAATAATAGAATAAAGAAAACGAAATTTTTTTATATATTTTTTCACGGTGGAATAGTGTAACGTTGATGAAAGTAACTTTTTTGAAATTTGTTGAATGGAATAGACTATATTAATCAGAAAATTCCATTCAAACTGGTGAATAAGTTTCGGAAGTTAATATATGTATAAATATTCTTATATCGCTTGGGACTAACCAATTCATAAGTTTGCATATTAGTTTTAAAATATTTTTCTTGTTTTAAATCTTTTTAAAGATAAAGTTATGCATATATATTGAAGTTAAGCTTCGAGAATATGTTACTTGCATGTATTTGTGACTCTTGTTTGCGCGGAATGGCTAACTTTTCATTTGAGAAGTTCATGACATAATTTCTTTTTAAACTTTAACTAAATTTGTGTAAAAGTTGGATTATTTTTAATTTTTCTAAAGAAAAAGTTTAATTTTCTGCTCAATTTCATAATATTTTTTAAAAATATTACTTATTGGTAATTTTATTATAATACCGCTTATAGTCTATTAATGATTTAGTTAATATTTCTTTAAAAAATTGGTAAGATTTCCTTAATTCTGATTTGCTGCAAAATAATCGCCAAGTCATGAAAAAATTAAGAAAAGGGGAACAATTCAAAAGTTGTAACTCCAAGCCACCCCTTAGCAAACCTCTACATGTTGTTCTTTTTTTTTTTAAATTGCAAGTTTAAATTCTATATGACGCCTTGGCCATTGTAATTGTATCAACATATCACAATATGGAAAGATTCCAGAAAAATATTTTATGAACATAAATGTTGTTGTGTATCTTTAAAGTTTATGTCAAGAAAATTTAAATTTTAAGTTCAGAGTTAAGAGTGATATACTATTTCAAAATTTTAATTATGGAGAAATTTTTCTGGAAGAAAACATTTGTTGTTAAACATTGCTCTGTTGTGGAAGAAAAATAATTTTGAAATTATTTTTCTTCCACAACAGAGCAACAATAAAACACTGAAGTGTTTTATTTTAAGTTCTTAAAATGTAGAACTTATTTTTAAGCAAATGTGAAATTCGAAAAAAATATAAAGGCTAATGAAAAGTTCATATCTAATCCAGATTGTATTATAAATAGTGAGAAATAATGAAGGAAATAAAAATCTGTTGATCTCTTTTCAGTTTTACTTAAATTTTTCTTGTCACCTATGTATGTGTAAACCAGACTCATAACCATAATAGCAAAGCAGACAAAAAAAGAATAAAGGGGTATATTTCCATATCATGATCTGTTCCGCCAACTACAATCACCAAGAGGGAACATAGATTGTAAACTTGTATTTCTTTAAAAAAAAAAATTTAGATGTTTGCCCAGAAGTGGCTACGAGTTATATGTTTCAAGTCGGTGTTAGTTTCTCGTGGGCCACTGCCTGGACTTGGCAGTGGCCCAGTTGCAAAGACTTGGTGATTATTCTACCACAGATCACGATATGAAAATCACCCCGCAAAAAATTTTGCCTCCCTTAAATTAAATTATTATTTTTAAACATCTCTTTAAATGTTCCAGAGATGTTACTTATCATTAAAAATTCTTTTTCATATAATCTTTATTTCTCATCTTATTTTTAAAAAGGCAATTAATCAATAGAATAGAATCTTTTTAATGAATGTTAATTTGTCTTTTCTTAAAATAGTTTTTTTCTTTCTAGTGATATAAATTCTAAATCTTTGAGATGACGTCTGAATTTGACCCTTTGTTTATCAAAGGCCTGAGGTTACTTCACTCCAAAAGTAAAGATTCTACTGACCAGCTGAAGCAGTTGCTGGATGAAATGATTCTTCAATCAAAACAGTCAAATTCTAAAGACAAAATATACACAACTGTTAAATTGGTAACAAAGAAATTTTTTTTTCATTTTTTGTGAAGTTTTGTGTATGTTTAATCGCCTATAAGTGAAAGAAATACAAAAAGGTACAAGTTTAGAAATTAATTTTAGGATGATTTTGTATTTATTTAGGTTGAATTTAGGATAACTAATAATAATCTGTTCCAAATGTTATCATGCCTTGAAGTAATAGACAGGGTATCTGCGCTCCTAGAAAGTCATGAATTTCCATATTGAACTAAATTAGTCATGAAATGTCATGATTTTTTTTAAAAAAATCATGGAAAGTCATGGATTTAGGTTGCAGAAAAATCTAATTTTTAAAATAGTATTTACCCCTCCCCTCAATTTCATGGTATTCCCAATATCTGAATTTGTAACGAAAACCACACTCACAGTTGATTTTATTAAAATATAAAATGTTTTTATCCTGTTCTTTAAAAATTATAGTGTTTAAAAAAAAATGAAAGAAAAAACATAATTTCTAGAGCTAATCATCTTTTAAACTTGAACCGTATCTTTTAAACTGTGATTTCAGAATTTGTGTTATAATTTATATTTTATTTTGTTTCATCAATTTAAAATTCTAGCTGAAGCAAGCCAGTCATTGGCAAATTTTTTTGTTCTGAAATGAGAGCAGAAAAATCAGGAGTATTTCTTTCCTTTCTGATGAACAAGAAAAGTATCTTTAGAATATAATTCTGCAGAAAAAAAGAAAAATATTTGCCTTTGTATTTTCTTCAGCTATTTTATTGCTACAACTTTTTCTTTACTCTGTTTTTAAAATTTTAAATCTATAAATATGAAAATGCAGAAAATAACAGTTTTGGTGATACCTATCATTTCAATAAATGTTATTGTAATACTTTTTTAAATTTATTGTTGCGTTTTTTTCGGAGAGAATAGTAACTTCGTTTAGTCATGAAAAGATCTTGGAATGAGTCATGAAAGGTCATGAATTTGAAAATCTAAAATGTAGCAGATACCCTGAATCGAGCACGCTAACTGGCCAATACTAAGAGAAAAAAACGTACTTTGAAAAATTAAAATATTTTTAATATACTTATTATGTAAGCTCCTGTGCTCGTAACTTAATTATCAATGGAGAATGAAAGAAAACTATCTAGTTTTCACAAATAACTCTATCCCACTGTATATTTCATTACATACAAGGTCATTATTTAATTAAAATAGGAAAAATACAGTTGTCATATTTCTACAATTTATTTTTTCTGATAAAATTGTTCTAATACAATTCTACGATCCACATTTTTTTAAAAGGCATTTAAATAGCATATATTTGTTTGTTTTTAAATTTTTGATTGATCATCTGGATTAATTTTAGATATAAATTTTTCATTGGAATTCTGGATTGATCATGAGTAATTTGATTTTAATGAAATTTAGCCTAATGGATACATATAATTTAGTTAATAATTCTAGTTTTTAATTTGAGCCGGCCGAGTGGTTAGCGTGACTGCGGAGCCATTGGCCGCGGGTTCGAATCCTGCTCAGGGTATGTGTTCTTTGTCCTTTCTCTCTGGGTGTTCTTTGTCCTTTCTCTCTCTGTGTTCTTTGTCATTTCCTCTTTGTGTGAATGTGACCTGCCCTATAAACGGGTTTGTGGTTGTGTGACTTGGGCGACTCTGCTTCACCGCCGTGGCTTCGCCACAGGTGCCCTCTGGGTAACGAGAAGAGAGTAGCAGTTCTGGCATTTCTGTAGCCAATGGGACAAACCCCAAGTGCCCGCCATTAAAAAAAAAAGTTTTTCATTTGAAAATTGTCCACAATATGTAAATACCTAAATTTTTCTTAAAAAAATACCTGCATATATGTAGTTGTAACTTTTTTTCCTAATTGTAGCAAAATAAATAGATGAAAATAAAAAAATAAACACCAATGAAAAATGAAGACATTAAGAGAGAACAACGCAACCAAACCCTTTAAAAAATATTTTTTGATGAATTTTTTCAAGGATTGTGATAAACTTTATACATTTTTCAAATCTTATTATACATATTTTTCTCTTGATTTTATCATTGTAAAAATCGAAAAATTCGAAGAATAGAAGCTAAAGCATTACAATACTTATAACTTTTTTAAATCATCCATAACTTGCTGTAGTATAAGAACAAATAAAAAAAAATTATTTCCCTTATGATTTTTTTGAACTACGTGAATGTTTTTTGTTGTTGCTGCTTTTAGGATTTTTAAAAAGTAACTTGTTTTTTTACAAAATGGTGTGTTATGCTGAAATATGCATAAAACATGTCCTTTCGTTTAAAAACCACATTATCTTACTTAATCCTTTTCTCAGTAAAAAAAATAAAAAATTCCTAATAACTGCAATCTTTTAATACCACAACCTTGAATTTAGTGCAGAATAAATTCTTTTTTTAGGGATTCACTCTACATCTGCTAAACTCATTATCACATAAACCTAAACTGTTTTATAGTTGCTAGAGTTTTGAATTCATTAAAATTTGTTATTATTTCTCACACTTTCTTTTTCCTGCCAACTGATTTGAATGTGTAACACTAAGAAAAAAAGTCTTGGCAATAAATTAATTGCGAATATCAATAATTTTTTTAACCTTCCTTGATAAAAGTTATGCATGAGAGTCGCATTTTTGATTTCTTGGTGGGCGGAGTTATCCTGTAGGACTTAACCCTGAAGTCCTGCTCATTTTCGAAATTTATTATGTATTTTGCTTACATAAAAAAGAAGAATTTCCCTTTACTTTGGAGATCTATACAACGTGAATAAAATGCTTCTTTTCCATAATTTTCAGCAGTTTCAAGTGCTAGTCTTGTCCTTTTTCTTGTTTATCTACCCTCATACATTTTTAGAGAATAACAGCCAAAATTCATCTCCCTTCATTTTGGGAAAATTCTTTGGCTACATTTATTTCTCAACTACCTCTTCGCAGTCTCCAATAAAGATTATTACAGCTAAATAAATTGCAATTTTATGTGTATATAAATGTTGTATATTTTTACCAAAATATTTTAGTACACTGATCTTAAAATTATTGAAAAATGCAATAAAAATTTAATTTGTATAATTTTTAGTGTGCTGTTTCTCCTCAACCTTTCAAATGATACCCTAAAATCCCAAATGTATGCTTCGTATATTACTTTGTATATAAGTTGCTCCCTTAGCTTTTAAATTCAATTGAATTGCATTAGAAAATACAATTATTACACTTTACAATTATACAATTAGAATACACTGAAAAAGTCCCTATTTTTTATTTAATTCCTCAAATAGTTATTTTTTATAAGAGTATTAGCTGAAATGTCATTTTTATCTTATTTTAATACATAAATTATGTGTATTTTATATTTTAAGAGCTTGAAGCAAATTTATAATATGTGAGTATCAACTACAATCAATGCTCAATTTAACGTCTCCTGTTTCCTTTTTTTACAAAAAAAACAACAACATTAACCTGTAATTGAAAATAGTTGATACTTTTTTGACAAAATGATACTGTTTCCTTTTTTTACAAAAAAAACAACAACATTAACCTGTAATTGAAAATAGTTGATACTTTTTTGACAAAATGATAATTGATAAGACGAAGAATGTTATATTAAAGAAAAACTTATTTTATTTTATTTGAATATGCATTAATGTGTATAGGAAAAAAAAAGCTTGATTGAAATTGAAAAAAATTTTACAATTACAAATTTGTATACATTTTTATTCTATACTTTCTTCTGTAAACACAACGTTTCTGTTACGTTAAATAAATAAATGTTGTAATTAAAAGTATCTTAAAGCAAAATATTAGTGCTAGGGAAGTTTGTTGCCCAAAGCTCGAAGAAATTCTGCCACATGGTCTTCAGCTTGAAAATTTTTTTTGTTTCTTTTTCTTTAAAAAACAATATTTGTTATTTTAAAAAAACTCATTTATTATTTATTGAACTATACAACTCTTACACACTGAAGTGTTAATGAAAAAGTAAATGTTTCCAACTCACTCTAGTTTACACAGAATCTAAATGAAAAAAAAACCCTTTTGAGAAGAGGAACATACACACATATATATATGTGCACATGATATATGTGCGTATATATGTATGCGTATATATATATGTGCTCATATATATATATATATATATGAACATACACACCATCTAGGTTTGTGTAAATATACTCTATGATGTTC